GGGGAGCCCAACGTAAGTCAGGCTTTTTGAGGACTATTGTCTCAAATGAAGACATCAATGGAGAATGTGCCAGGCATCTCACACGGATTTCCCCTCTTAGTGCTCCTGATGACTGCAAAGTAGGCTCATTGTCCCCATTTTACTGAGGAGAGCCTGGAAGCCAAGAGGCTGTCCAGGGTCACTGGGCCAGGAAACAGGAGGCCAAGGATTCAGTTCCACATCTGGGTGATTCTACCCAGTAAACACACCATTGTGAGTGTTGCATGCTCTAAGTGCACCTCAGATAGTTTGCTGTGGGAAGTCCATACGTCCACGAGAAGCATACAGACATTTCTCTTCCCCTTCTGCCTCTCTCTGCCATGGGTCACAACTGGGGCGGCAAGCTCCCACCCTAACAGCACATCCCCAATACCCCCGCCATAACACTTCATCACATATCATTAATTCCAACTAGTCTCTAGTCCTAAAGGAGCCTCGGTGGCACGGTGGCTAAGTTCTCAGCTGCAAAGTTTGGCAATTCGAACCCACCCAGCGGTTTCATGGGAGAATGATGTGGCAGTCTGCTTCCATAATGATCACTGCCTTGGAAACTCTATGGGGCAGTTCTACTGTGTCCTACAGGGTCACTGGGAGTCAGAATCAACACAACGGTTGATTGACACTTGATTGACACCACAACAGTCTCTAATCCCAGTGAGGAGACAACTCACAGATGCCATTCAGTCCTTAGCCTTTCCCATGATCCTGAAATGAAGACTAGCCCCTGGGGTCTGCAGAGCCATATGATAAATGACACACCTCGCCAAGTAGCCATCACAGCCAGGAGAGCTCAGTGTGGTTACTTCTGGTGCTGGCACCTCCCGGCTCAGCTGACCACAGTGATGTTTGTGAGGACAGCTGAGCTCACGGCATTGCCCATAATTTCCAAAGCCCACTGCTCCATTTTGAGGTCATGATCTGAGCTCTTGACCCTAGCCAGCTGTCCCCAGACGTGTGACCCAAACCACCAGGGGGATTTAGGGTGGCTTGAGTCAGGTCCGCTCCTCTTGTTGGATAAACAACTCAAGCTCCCACCTCCTTCCTGAGTCTGAGTCACTGGCAGCTGTCCTCTCCCCTTGGAAAGGGCAACACGTAGCTGCTATTATTCCCGACACAGGCCCCCGCCCATAGCCCCCTCCATCCCACTGGTCTGCAAGGGCTCCCGGGATCATTGGAAAGCAGTCTGGCAAGGGTGACAGTGTACCACCTAGACAGATGTGCTCATCAAGTGTCCCTTGGCTGGTTGCCTTCCTGGAATGACCATCCTCAGACTGTGACTATGTGACTCTCATAGTGCTGTGCTTCCTTGCTCAGCATGATGAGTGCATGGTATTTATGCAGAAGCATCTTATCAATACCATCCTTCCTTCGCTCAATATTTATGATGCACCTGCATGCTGGCTCGGGCTGTAAACAAACACAGTCGCTCTGTGTTTTTCTGTTTTTCTGGAACACAGAGCCTGGTGCAGAGGACAGACAAGTAAACAGGCAACCGCAAGACCTGACAAAAGGAGTTGAACGGGTGCAAAAAGAGGGTGGGCAGAGAAGAGGACCCTTATCTCAGTCTCTCAGAGGAAGCAACACTGAGCTGACCCTGAAAGATGAATAGGAGCTCGTTGAGTGAGGAGAGGAGGAGAGTGTGTCAGGCAGGGGAACAGCATATGTGAGGGGATGGAGGCAAGAGACAGAGGGGCTCAGGCAGCGAGGAGGTCCGGGGCAGGGGGTGTGGAGAGTTGAGGGTGCAGAGAGAAGTGGAACTGAGATCAGGGAGGTCTTGGGACTGTACCGAGAAGTGGGAACTTCGCCCCTGGAGCACTGGGGAGACACTGAAGGGTTTTCAGCAGGAGAGATGGGGGCACGATGTGGTGTGTATTTCAGAAGCTCTCTGGGCTGCAAGTGAGGAGTTGGTCAGAGGGGAGCAGGGCTGGATGCTGGAGCTATGGCAATGATGGGAGGAGTTGATGGTGATGGTGGCTGAAGGATCCCTGGTGACGCAGTGGTTAAGTGTTTGGCCACT